CGCGGGGAGTGGGGGGGGGGGGGGGCGCTGAGTGACAGCTTCCCCTGAAATCTGGTTGGCGTGCTGTGTTAGAAAGCACTTTCTAAACCACCGTGCAAAGCTGGGTTTAGGTTCCTTCCCTGCAAATTTCTCCCTGGGTGCTTGGGCAAGAACCAACAAGCTCTAACTTTTAGAGAAATCTTTGCCACAACATTCTCTCCATCTTCAGGCTTCAGGGCACAATGAGGTCAGGAGGAAAGCATAGCCTCGCCCCCCTCTCTACTGATAACTAGAAAGCACTTTCTAAACCACCGTGCAAAGCTGGGTTTAGGTTCCTTCCCTGCAAATTTCTCCCTGGGTGCTTGGGCAAGAACCAACAAGCTCTAACTTTTAGAGAAATCTTTGCCACAACATTCTCTCCATCTTCAGGCTTCAGGGCACAATGAGGTCAGGAGGAAAGCATAGCCTCGCCCCCCTCTCTACTGATAACTAGATGCCTTCTGGAAGTTTGCCCCCTCCCTCCGACGCATCCAGCATTGGCCGCAAGTGAAGTGAGACTTTTTCTCAAACAGGCTCATGGATTCTGAGTTAAGAATTCAATAAGGGGCGGGGAAAAGTGGAGTTTTCTTTTTTTCCCCCCCAGCCCAATTTTGCAGACCTAAAAGTTTCTGATACAAAGGATTAGGCCTGTTCAGGCAGCCAGATTTTTGGTCCCAAGCCATAATATTCGGCTGTAGCTCCTAATTTCGGAGGATCGGGGGTGGAGGGGCGCTATCCTGTTGTAGATAAAAGGGGTGATTGTGATATAAATACCCAGAGTGGGGTTCAAACTTTAAGCCACTGTTCCCTGCTCAAGAGAGATTCAAATTAGGGATGTAATAGTGTAGCCGATTAACCGATAAACAAAAGCTTAAAGGTTAATGCTATAGATTACACGCATTTCCCTCCCCTGCCCAACCAGTACATTTTTTTGCAGGCTGGACAGCAGCCAGGCTCTCTCCTGGTTCGTGCCGGGTCCAGGACCTACCTCCGCTGTGGTTCTGCATATACTGTGTATTAGGAGCTGGGTAGGCAGGCAGCCTGGCTCAGTTCCGGCTTACACTGGGTCTGGGAGCTCAGACCTCCCTGGACAGGGGCTGCTGCCACCCCGCACTGCTGCTTCTTTATCCGAGGCAGCAGCAACGGGTGACAAGCAGCTGGTGCAGGGCCATCCCTGGCTGCTGCCGGTCCCGCCCCCGGGGACTATAGAATAGTCGAGTAACCGATCAGGTTTCATGAGGTTACTCGACTATTCAATTAACCGATATTTACCATCCCTAATTCAAATGCCACCCAGTGGATTAGCAAAGCGCCCACCGAGAGGTTTTTTTGTTTCTACTGGTGGTGCACATTTGCACCCGTCTCGGCGCACATACACATTTATTCTGCACATGGATGGAAAAGACTAGAGGGAACATTAATTTAGCCCCCCCAAATCTGTCCAAAGTTCAGGAGTGGTGACACACACACAGAGCAATATGGATATTCAAAAACAGAACAAGTCCTAAACCCCGACTGAAACCAAACGCTCCACTGCAGGGGTGGACTGGCCCGTGGGCTGTTGTATCCACCTGTGACGGGCCGTGTTGCCCTGCACTCCGAGCGGCTCTGCGTCCACGCACGGAGCCTGACCCACCACTTGTGCTGCGTGCCGGACGTGACACAGGGAAAGGAGGTGGGGCTTGAGGGGCACGCAGAGGTGACGTCATAGGGAGGACCGTTCCCAGGTCTATTTTGATTGCCAGTCCGCTTCTGCTGGACTGCGCCCCTTTCTCCCTCTGAGGAGAAGCAGAGAGCGCAAAAAACACACGAGAGGTGTTAATCGTGTTCTTAATGCCCGTCCGCAAGGTGCTGAAATGCCATGGTGATGGGAGAAACACAAGAGCGTCTGTAGAACAGAACACTATTGGGATGAAACCTTTAAACTTTGCAATTTCACATGTATCCCCTCTATTCGCACACCTCTTCTTCTGAGACTAATCTCGCAACACGGCGACTTTCATGTGAGGCTATCGGCATGTTTTACAGACGTCGCTGTTCTGAGGGAGGCAAATCATTAGTCCATTGAGGTGGAAGTGGGTTAAAATGTGGGGTTTATTCTCACTGACTCCCTGTGGCTACATCTACATGGCAAAGCTATTTCAGGATACCGGACTATCCCAAAATAGCTAGCCTGCATCTTCACAGAAATCCATTATTTTGGGCTCACTATTCCGACCTCCTTCCACGAGGAGTAAGAGATGTTTGGAAGAGCAGGACGTTTCGGAAGAGTGGGTGTAGACAGCCCCAAGTTACGAAATACGCTATTTCGAAATATGATACACAATTTGCGTAGCTCAAATTGCATGTCTTATTTCAAACTATGGTGTGGTGTAGATGTAGCCTGTGTAACAGGGCTGGATCATTTCCCCTCCCTGTCGCTCAGCATACCCATCTGTAAAATGGACATAAACGAAGCCCACCTGTGACACCTAAGCATTATTGTTACATTCATTTGGCAGCAGCGTGAGGGTTGGCCCAGATACGTTAACTGACTTTCTCAAGGTCCTGTGCTAACTTTGGGGCTGAGCTAGGAATAGCTCCAAAGCAAAACACAAAACAAAAATACATACTGCTAGTTATTATCTGGTACCGTGCCCAGAAAGAACTGCCTGTGGGTATCCAGCCTTCGAGCTGAATACATGAAATGTTGAAATCGGAGTGATTCAGTAATTCTTCCTGCTCTTCCCACCCACCAGGGCCCCTATAATTTGGAAATTAAGACGATAATTACTCCTCGCAAATCTTTTCAAGGAAGATTCAATTTAAAATAAACACCAGCCGGCGGCAAGGTTTGCCCCACTGTTGTGTGTAGGCAGGGAAACCGTCTGGGAGGCTGCTAATACACACACAGACAATCTGTGGGTGGGAAGCTATTCACGCTGCCCGTGAGTTCCTGCTCCCCAAATAAAGCGGAGCTTTCTTGGGAGCAGGCTGAGGCCAAAAAGCTAGAGTGGATTCAAGGTAGCTTCTCTCTGGGGCTAGACTGGCCATCTGGTGGACATGGCCGAGGTTGGCTGTTAGGAATCACACATTGCTGAGGAGAGATGAGCTCACGGTTAAAGCTCATCTAGGTGATCTAGGTTCAAAATTGCCTGCTCATCCATAGAATTTCTGTGTGACAGCCACTTGTTCTCTCTGGTCCAGAACTTCAAAGGTATCTAAAACTCTTGCCCTTCATTGTGAACACCTCTGCCATGAAGCGCTTATGCAATCTAAATAGACAAGGCAGACAAAAGAATCCAGACAGCACCGAGCACACAGGGTGCAGGCCCAAGTGTCATGTGGTTCGATTTTTAGATACAAGAGGAGCCAGTCAAACACCTCAAATAAACTCCTGTCTGACAATCGTAAGGGCAATAGCATAGGAACTGCGTGTGATTTATAGAAATAAGTACATGTATATTCATAGCCCTAAAATCGAGTATCTTGTGTATTAGAACATAAGAACGGCCGTACTAGGTCAGACCAAAGGGCCATCTAGCCCAGTAGCCTGTCTGCCGACAGTGACCAACACCAGGTGCCCCAGAGAGGGTGGACCGAAGACAATGATCAAGCGATTTGTCTCCTGCCATCTCTCTCCAGCCTCTGACAAACAGAGGCCAAGGACACCATTTTATCCCCTGGCTAATAGCCTTTTATGGACCTAACCTCCATGAAATTATCTAGCTTCTCTTTAAACTCTGTTATAGTCCTAGCCTTCACAGCCTCCTCTGGCAAGGAGTTCCACAGGTTGACTACGTGCTGTGTGAAGAAGAACTTTCTTTTATTAGTTTTAAACCTGCTCCCCATTAATTTCATTTGGTGTCCTCTAGTTCTTCTATTTAGGGAACTAATAAATAACTTTTCTTTATCTGCCCTCTCCACACCACTCATGATTTTATAGACCTCTATCATATCCCCCCTCAGTCTCCTCTTTTCTAAACTGAAAAGTCCCAGTCTCTTTAACCTCTCCTCATATGGGACCCGTTCCAAACCCCTAATCATTTTAGTTGCCCTTTTCTGAACCCTTTCCAAGGCCAAAATATCTTTTTTGAGGTGAGGAGACCACATCTGTACACAGTATTCAAGATGTGGGCGTACCATAGTTTTATACAGGGGCAGTAAGATATTGTCCTAGGTATAAGTGTTATTATAGACTGCATCCCTTTTTCGTAAAAGGGATGCAAATTAGACACATCGCAATTGCAAATGAAGCGGGGATTTAAATCCCCCCCGCTTCATTTGCATAAAAATGGCTGTACATGAGATCGTCAGTGCTTTTGCGGAAATCAAGGGGGCCAGTGTAGACAGCGGCTGCTTTTCCGGAAAAAGTGGCCAGTCTAGACACAGCCATAGTGTCTGTGCTAACTATCCTGTGTATTGGAATAGATCCGGGTAACTTTGCATTGCTTTCCTCTACTATTCTGTGCACAATATGGTTAAAAAGAGTTTATTTGAGGTATTTTACTGGCTCCTCTCGTATCTAAAAATCGAATCACACGACACTTGGCCTTCACCCTGTGTGCTTGGTGCTGTCTGGATTCTTTTGTCTGCCTTGTCTATTTAGATTGCATAAGCACTTCATGGCAGGGATTGTCTCTCTCTAGGGCTACCTCTACGCTGCATCCCTCTTGCGCAAAAGCCTATGTAAATGAAGCGTGGATTAGCATATTGCCACGCGTCACTGGCATAATTAATTCGGGGCTGTTTTTGCGCAAGAGGCTTTTGTGCAAGCGCCGTTCTTCCTCATTTTTTCAGGAAGAACGGCTCTTGCACAAGAGGGTGTTTTTGTGCAAAAAGGAGCCGTGTAGATGGCTCCTTTTTGCGGAAAAGCCCTCTTGCGCAAAAACAGCCCCGAATTAATTATGCCAGTGACGCGTGGCAATATGCTAATCCACACTTCA